AAGATATAACATAGACCAGAAAATAAGTTAGCCTATGTCCCATTATAAAATGTTGATGCATTTATAAAAAGGCAAAAGATATGTGCTTATGTATATCAGCAGGAAATCCTGAATATTCACTGTTGCTTCTGTTTTACACCTCTGCTGGACATATGTCTATATATGCTTTTTTTAAAAAGTTTTCTTAAGATTAATGGATCCTAGTCATGGTGTTAGTCTTTGTTTATTTTAGAACATGGATGCTTATTATATAATCTATCTAAACTATCCATCTCAATTACATAAGTCTAGGTTCTCTGTTGTGTGAAGTATTGTATCTTCCAGCTTTGGCTAGGCTGTGTTTGCCTTTGTTTTATTAACAAACATTCTTGCATATTTATTCAAAATGCAAGAACAAATTTTTCACTCATTTATTTGATGTTATTTAAAGCATTTTATGCAACCACAAATGTTCTTCCTGTTTATCACAGTCATTCTTATTTGGGCACTAGGATCAATAATTCACAAGCAGTCCTACACCATGGAGTGATAATGTTTATATTAAAATGTAATATTTGTATAAATACATATTTGTACATATGTACATGTACCAAACCCTTGAGAAATTCAAAACAAACTCCTAACATCTGAATAACCAGCTTATAATTATTATTTTTTCTTTATGTATAGCATGGCAATATTCATTTCTGGCTTGACAAAGCAGGTAAGTACTCATAACCTAGCTTATATTTGTGGATGCACCAGTCACAGAACAAACACCCTGCCTGTGGCATCCAGTGATATTGTCTTTCCATGTACATTACTGACATATACTTACAGGAGTGAAGGAAACCAATTGTAGCAGGGCCAAAAAGAAACTTTAACCTTTCATCTGAAAGCCAATGTTTCCCACCCACCCCTCTCTCTCAACTCCTTCATGGAGAGAACAAACTAGCATCTATGCACATATAACATAACAAACACAATGCCCTTAAGTAGCTTTCCATCAGGATGACAGGACAGGGCTCACCCTCAATTTAGCTTTTAAATTGGTGATCCGGAATGTGAAAAGAGGGTTGCTCACCATCAGACCACTACTTGGTGAAGTTTGGTCTCTAGTGCTGCTTTTCTGAGTGGCCCATCCAGAGTGTATTGTCATTTACCATGGGAAATCCTGTGTTACAACCCTTGAAGGCAACTGGGTGACTTTGGGCTCATCACAATGCTCAGCCCTGTCGGAGTGCCTGCTCCGACAATCGGCGCGAGAGAGTTCAGAGAGAGAAATAAAACACTGCAGACGAGAGATAAAGTTTCAAAGCATGCTCGGTTGAGTACTCCGGAGAACAAAGAAGTTTTTCTTAGCTGAATAATTCTAATCAAAGATGTTCTTCTTTAGTAATTCTTCCTAAAATGTCCTCTTAAAGATGTCCTCCTTCCTCACCACCGGCAGCCCCTTTTTATTAATTCACAGATTGTTACATTTGTATTTGCCTACACCAATCGCCATCGAGTTAATCAGCCAACTCCCTAATCATTGTGCGCAAGCGCAGGATTCAAAATGCTTACTGATTGCTTATGCGCAGGCGCAGGAAACAGGAAGCGTACTTATTGCTATATATGGTCACAAGCCTTATATGGTTACACAGGTGAAGTACAGTGCTATTGGCTGGGTAAATTACAATACTATTGGCTGGTAAATTACAATACTATTGGCTGAGCGTAGCGTGCCTAGCTACAGCATGAATGCTGCGAGGCAGGGATGAATTCCCACACAGCCCTACCTAACTCACAGGGTTGTTGTGAGGATAAGATTGAGGTTTGCAAGAGGAGAAAGATGTAAGCTGCTCTGAGTTCTTAAAAACAAAAGAAAAGAAAAGAAAAGAAAAGAAAAGAAAAGAAAAGAAAAGAAAAAGTCAGGTCATAAATCCAATCAATAAATACATAATCCACTTGAATTTGGAGTTGGTGGCACTGTTTAAAGAGATTCTAGACCTACTTTCAGGGGCAGATCAAGAAAGCAGCATTGGATGACGGTGACTCAGTGCCCTGGAAGCCATTTTGTGGCTGAATGCTGTTCTCCGGTGCTGTGGGGAGCTGCCTTGTTTCCAGTGATCTTTAGCATCCAATACAGGGCCACAGGTTGCCCCTTCCCACTCAGTCAGGGATTGCAGGGCTCGGGGAGCAGGGGCAGCTGCCTTCCTATGCAGGACAGGCATGGCTGGTCACTTGCCAAGGCCCTCACCCCAGTGGAAGGCCACTGACAAGAGCACCCAGCTCCTCCTTCCTCTTGCAACCCCAGCCTGCATTTTACTTCGCCCTTTGCTCTGGTCAGGCTGAGGAGGACCAGCAGATGTTGCTGCCTCTGCCTGGCCCTCTGCAGGCAGAGAGGACGTTATGAGGAAGAGACGCAGCAGCAGATGAGGATGCTGTCGGAAATCTGGGCTCTGAGGAAGAGGGGCCCACTGAGGGTGCCTTGGAAATACGTTCTCCGAACCTGGAGGCAGCAGCAGCCCTGTCCCTGGCTCAGCTTAACTCAATTCCTCAGGCAATTCTATCAGACATTAGTACAAGTTCACAACTTACATTTCAAACAGGCCACCTTTCTCCAAATGGTACTTCTTGCTATGAATTAATGTAATGAAGCTTTAACTTGGGGATCTGAAGAGGGTTTTAAGGTCTAGAGGCATAAAATTTTGGTGTAGGCTCCTTGGATCAGTGGCAGAATTTCTAAAAAATTGCCATCTTGAATGCATGTGTACAAAATGTCCTATGATTTCTCCTCTCATGCTTGTTTTGTGCCTGGTGTGATTGCATGCAGTTTGCCCTGCCTCCTGCCAGAGCCAAGGGACTGGTTTGTAATTCTAGGCAATTAGCTATTCTTATGTTTAAAAAGAATGACTGAAGAAGGAGGCCAGTCATGCTTCAGGGTATATTGCAGGCTGTGTTACAAGCAATGGCTATAAAAGCTGTTTTAGCTTCTGGAAAAACCTGCTTCTTAATCTGAGATGGGAGTTAGAGAGTTGAAACTAAACTTTTGGGTATTGTTAGTCCTCCTCACTGCCTGCCCTGCCCCAGCCTTTCAGTCTAGGCATGTGAACAGAGCCCTGCCTTCAGTCTGGATCCTCTCCTTGAAATGACTATTGGGCAAGGAGCTGCTTGCACTGCTGTCCCACCCTGTGCCTCTCCTCCCTTCATTTGACGTCTGACCCTGAGCTCTCCAGTGCCTGGTCCCTACTCTTTCTCTCCTTTGCAGTGGTTGGGTATCCCCTTGGTCTCAGATGGCTTGCTGGATATCAGCAGCATTTGAGTACCTCTCTGCTCCCATTCTTCTGAGTCCGAATCAAATCCCAGACCAAATCCTTACAGTGATACAGAAGAACTTTCCTCCATAGATAATGTGTTTGCTTGTTCTACCCTTCCTTTGCACCCTCAGGATTTCCACATTGGGAAGGATGATGTATATTTATGTGTCCTGTTAAAAATAAAGAAACCTCTGTGTGCAACATTGTGGATGGCTTGCAGGATGCCAAGAGTTTGAGGCCTTCTATATTTGAGGCTGCGAAGATATTTTCCCGAAGTCATTCAGTTGCCTACCCACACCTTGCCAGTCTGCACCATATGACGAGATTCACTTGTTGATGTCATTAGGAATGAGTAGTTCCACAGGTGCCTTTCCAGAGTACCCATCTACTCTGATAGTGGCTTATTGTAAACAGAAGATGGGGGTAGCAATGATGAATGGCTATCCACTATTCCCTCCCAAGTTATACTCCAATAGTCTTATATACAGGCCATTTAGCCAATGACACTCTGATTATTCCCCCCAAAATAACACCAGGTTCTGGACTGTATCCATTTGCTAAAATGTATTTCAAGATACATAGTTTATTCAGGAAATAGATTAATTTTTCGAGCAGAAAAAGATACCATGAAAAACAGTAGTACAAATGCAAAATATTTCAGTAATGATTTGCTTTGATGCACCAAATAGTTTATTAATGCTAATACAACCAGAAAGTCATGAGATAAACATCTATATTTTAAGGAACAGCAGCAAAACTTTAGCTATGGAGCTGAGACTTATCAGATAAGTTTAAGCAAATATTGTGTTGTGTCAGAGTTTTGAGATTTACAGAAGTCACGTGCAAACAAATATGGTCTAAACTATGTTGTCTCATCTCTTGTAAGAAAAGCAGAAATAAATCAGGAGGCAAAGTGGGAAATTATTAAATCAACAGCTATATCAGTATTTTTCTTTCCAAAAGTTTCCATTGATAGACGTCCTGGATTCTTACTTTCATTTCATTCTAATCAGCTGAAGGGAAAGAACAAGAAAGCAGTTTTATTTGAAAGAGACTTGGGATGAATTGTATTGGCAGCGTGTGTTTGGAGGTTGTCCTTGCTCCATGTGGCTTCCTGACAGGTTTACTCACTATGACCTGGTTCACACAATCATGGAAGGGTGTACAAGCCATGATGGTTTGTTTCCTGTGATGGGCACATTGGAGGGACTGGCAAAATTACACTCACCAGCACAGCTTGCTATATTGTGCAAATCTGGTGAGAGTGGCTTGAACCTCCTATCACAGCAAGCTGCTCCAGCAGTAGTGTGAACATGCAAAGCAGGGCAATGCAAAGCAGGACAGTGAATTCCTATCACCTTGTATTTGATTACCTTTCTTTTTGCATTCATTCTCAATGTCCTTCATCCTTCTCTCCATCTTCATGTTTTTTCCTTCCCATTATTGCCTAAATTTTAAAATTCCCATATACTTTCTAAGAACTTGTACATTTGAAAAGAGAACCAGACTGCAATCTGGAAGCTGTAATGAAGGAACAACTGATGCCATTATTCAGAAGGGTTGTATCCTTCTTAGGACTACTAATGTCCTTTTTCACACACTCTGGATCTTTCTTACTATTGGCTTTCTTTTGCATTTTTGTATCATTGCAAATGGTGGAGGAGTAGACGTCTAATGTTTCAAATCAAATAAAAACGTAAAAAAGCACTACTCACCCACGAAAGAAACACCATTTGGACTTAGCAATACGGCTGCTAAAACAGCACCCTCTTCTTTGACATGTTTGCCGAGATATCCCTGGATAGCCACAATCTCTTCTCCTCTGTGGAGGTACATTACAGGAACGGCCTGGTCCTATTCAGTAAAAAACCACAAAACTTCAGAACTCATTATGGTTTTATTTTCTATTTGTGTGTTTGCTACCTTTATATCCTGCATTTTCTTCTAAGGACTAGTAAGTGCCATGTATGATCCTGCTCTTCTTACGCTGTAAGGTAGGTTAGTTTAGGGGGTCTGTTGCCCAGTGATCCCCAGGCCTGGATGGAAAGCAGAACCTGGGTCTCCTGAGTTTCAGTCCTACTCTTTAAGCCATTCACCACATGGGCTGTGTTCAGCTTAAAACTAGCCAAGAACATGATGTATGGTCAGTCATGTTCTCCCATCCTAGCCTACCTCACTAAGTTTTTGTGCCAATTTATGGGATAAGTGCATGCATCCCCTGAGCTGCTAATTTGGAAGTACACCTAGCACCAAAGAAAGAAATTTAAACCATTGCAAAATATAAGCCTACTTTCTGGGACACCCTGTGATTCTAAACTGCCTCCTGGAGAAACTGTCAACTGTTCTGAAATATTTCCCAGCATCACTGCAAAAGAGGAACTCTGAGCAAAACGAGCCCACTGTAAAATAATGGAATGGATTGTGCAATCAGCAATAAGCAGCACAATAGTTACAATCTTTCTTTGGCTACATCTGCAAGCCTCTTTCACACATTACTTGCATGAAGTGGTAAAGCATGTGTGAAAGGGATGCAGAGCTGTGTTCTGTGCCAGTCTCTGGTGCCCATCATCCACTTATTTGCACAGCCATCAGAGGCAAGGGGCCTTGATGTGTGGACTGACCTCAGTGCAGGCAGGCTGGCTTTCCTGTATCCTGGAACCTTGCCTGGAACAGGCTTCAGGTACCCAGGGAATCCTTGAAGCAGGGTGGTCCATGGGCAAAACTTCCCATATGAATGGCATGTCTAGGAAGAGCCATCAGGAGTGAGGCTTAAGGATAGCCCTTTCCCACAGCCCTTTCAGCATGCTTTGTCCCTTCACATGAAGAACACACAAAGAGAACTACTGAAATCAAGACTTGGCAAATGGATTGGCCAGTGGGTGAGGCACGGGGCTGACAAGCAATCTCCCAATGCAAGGAAGAGCTGCTATCATGGAAGCCAGTACAGTGTGGCTACCCCAGGTTCTCTGTCTTCTGTCAAGAATATTAGGTTCATTCCTCAGTTACTGAATATGATATATTTTGTTCTTGAAAGTAGGACCAATGGTATTAGGGTCACAGCTGTAGAACACCAGAATTTAAAACTATATGCATTGCTAAAAATGTTGGCTTACTTGGCCGTGTACGTGGTGGTCGTGGTATTATCCTGGCATCTGCCAGACTGCTGAAAGCTACAATCAGGACAATGGTCCAGAGCCAGAACCATTTGAAGTTCATTTCCAGTTGTAACTTCACTAATTGTCAAATAAGTTTAAGAATTCCAGACCTGTGGTGTCCCTGTTGAGTTGTGATTGGTTACCTAAGAAGAAAGATTCAAGAAATCAGGAGTGGTTGGTAAGCATTTAAATCCTAATATAGGGTTTGAACTCTACCGGGAGGAATGGGATCAATTTTTTTTCTGCAGACAGGATCAGGCAGCAGCCCACTTGTCCAGTGATTGGATTGCGGTTTAGTGTATCTTTTTAAGGACTGCACACATGATAACCTTGATGCTACCGCTGGCTGTGGGCCTCAAACTGGCTGGCTTTGTATGCCACAAGGCAACCTATGATTGGGCTGATCAGAAGTTGTATCATCTATGGAATGTGCACCCCAGAGAGGTCCGCCTGGCGCCGTCGTTATTTGTTTTTCGGCACCAGGCCAAGACCTTTTTATTCAAATGTTATTTTAATTGTTAATATTATTTATTTGTTTGTTTGTTTATTTTTGGCCAGGTCGACTCAAATTATATTGTTTTTATATTGTGTTTATTTATTTATTATTGTGAGCCACCCCGAGGTTTCAGCGAATGGGGCGGCATAGAAGCCTCCTAAATAAATAAATATTCAGTTCAGAAGTAGCTGACATGTAGCACACAATCCAACAAATTCATTTATGATTTGCTACCACGATGTGTAAAGTTTTAGAACTAAATGGCATGCAAGTACATTAAATTATCTGTAAGTTTTAATTTGACTCCCTGACTTAGAAACATAGAATTATCAAATCATAGAACAGTAGATTTGGAAGGGTCTGATGAAGCTATTGGGTGTGACTCCCTGCTCAATGTAGGACTGCAAATTAATGCATTCCTAACAGCTGGTTGTGTGGTTGCATTTTAAATGCTTCTAGTGTGGGAGAGTCTGCAACCTCCTTAAGTGACTGGTTCCATTGTTCTATTGCTCTAACAGTCAGAAAGTGTTCCCTCATGTTCAATAGGAATCTGGCTTCCTGTATCTTGAACCCATTATTCCATATCCTGCACTCTGATGATCAAGAAGAGATCCCAACTGTGTGGCACTAAAAATTCAATGTTTCCTCCTCTAAAACACCTGTGAATTTTTAAAAAACGCTGCAAGTGCCCATAAGAGAGAGACCGTGAGGCAGCAACTTCTTGTAACCCCTAAGGAAGAACCTCTCATTACATCTTGTACCCCCTTTTGTTCATTTCAGTAATTTCTTGGAGGTTGACATTTGGAAGATTACCAGCTGAAGATCTCTACATTAGAACATAATTTTGTCTAAACGTATCTGATATGAAGAATAAATGATTGGATACCAAAGTAACATAAAATGCATCAGAGAGAGTTGCAAATTTTTAAGTAAACACAAATACATATTATCACCAATTTATCATATTTATCATGTTTTTTCCCTCTAAAGTATGCCAGTTTTATAGAAACCTGACTCTACTCTATAGAATACAACTGTGAGACACTCTGCTCAAAACTAATCCATGGGAATCAAAAATTTTCAATGACACTCACCTAACTTGTCTGTTGCTCTTAGAAGATCTGAAAATAGTGGTGTATTCCACTTGACCCTGATGTGGAGGAATTTAATGGGAGACAGCTTAAGTAAGAAGCCCTCCTTCCTGTATGAGATCCCACTCCCTCCTTCCTGTATGAGATCCCACTCCCATGGTGAAACAAAAACCACTAATTAGTCAATGATTCTTTACCAGAAAGGTTACAAATGAGTGTTGGGACAGGGAATCAATATGTGTTAATGGACTGCTGTAGCAAGCTTTCAATTCGTGGCAAGCTTTCAATTCAATGGACTGCTGTGGCCAGCTTACTCTTGCTTGCATGGGCAGAATATCCTGTTCTATGGTCACAAGAAACCACCAGTCTCCCATGTCAGACTTTTCCATCCTTGAGCAACAGATAACTGAGTCTTAGGACACATTAACTGGCAGCCATTGTCCTCACCTACAAATTCCTGTCAAGAAGCATCCAAACATTAACAAATACATTTGACTTAGCTATCCCACATGTACTTTGTGCTAACGTTTAAAGGCACTGGCCCATAAGTTCATCATTTAATTTCTAATTGAAAAGGCCTTGAAGGCTTTGAGATAAATTCTATGTAATTGAAATTTCCCAAGACTTGCACACAAACCTGTGCACACAAATCTTGCACAAATCTTGCACACAAACCTGTCCAACTACAAAGGGCTTCCTCACAAGCCATATTTTTGGTCTGCCAGCCTCTGTAGAGATGTGGTTGGTGATCTGTCCCATTGTTAATACCCCTGCCGTATGGCTGAATCCTTGGCTAAAGATAAGTATAGAACAAAGAAATGTCTGTGCTTCATTTTGACACCCCCCTGACCCCTTTTGTTTTACTCTACCCTCATGGAATGGTTGCTCTACCCACTATGAAGGCCTACAACACCTTCTAGAATTAACACCCAAAAATGATGTCCTTATCATCATGGGGGATTGGAATGCTAAAGTAGGAAGCCAAAAGATAACCGGAATAACAGGCAAGTTTGGCCTTGTAGTACAAAATGAAGCAGGGCACAGGCTGGTAGAATGTTGTCAAGAGAATACAATGGTCCTAGCAAACACTCTTTTCCAACAACCCAAGAGATGACTCTACAGATGGACATCACCAGACAGTCAACACAGAAATCAGATTGGCTATGTGCTCTGCAGCCAAAGATGGAGAAGCTCTATACAGTCAGTAAAAACTAGACCAGGAGCTGACTGTGGCTCAGATCATGAGCTTCTTGTTGCAAAATTTAGGCTTAAATTGAAGAAAGTAGGGAAAAGCACTAGGCCACGCAGGTGTGACCTAAATCATATCCCTGATGAATATACAGTAGAGGTGACAACTAGATTTAAGGAATTAGATCTGATAGACAGAGTGCCTGAAGAACTATGGATGGAGGTTCGCAACATTGTACAAGAGGTAGCAACTAAAACCATCCCAAAGAAAAAGAAATGCAGGAAAGCAAAATGGCTGTCTGAGGAAGCTTTACAAATAGCTGAGGAAAGAAGGGAAATGAAAGGCAAGGGAGAAAGAGAAAGATACACCCAATTGAATGCAGAATTCCAGAGAATAGCCAGAAGAGATAAGAATGCATTCTTAAATGAACAGTGCCAAGAAATAGAAGAAAACAATAGAACAGGGAGGACCAGAGATCTCTTCAAGAAAATTGTAGATATGAAAGGAATGTTTCATGCACGGATGGGCATGATAAAGGACCAAAATGGCAGGGACTTAACAGAGGCAGAAGAGATTAAGAAGAGGTGGCAAGATTACACAGAAGAACTATGCAAGAAAGAGCTTAACGTCCCCGATAACCACAATGGGGTGGTCACTGACCTCAAGCCGGACATCCTGGAATGTGAAGTCAAATGGGCCTTAGGAAGTCTGACCAACAACAAAGCTAGTGGAGGCAACAGTATTCCATCTGAGTTATTCAAAATCCTAAAAAACGATGCAGTAAAAGTGCTATACTCAATATGCCAGCAAACTTGGAAAACTCAGCAGTGGCCACAGGATTGGAAAAAGTCAGTTTACATTCCAATCCCAAAGAAGGGCAATGCCAAAGAATGTTCAAACTACCGCAACATTGCACTCATTTCACATGCTAGCAAAGTGATGCTCAAAATCCTACAAGTTAGGCTCCAGCAGTATGTGGACCGAGAACTACCAGAGGTACAGGCAGGATTTCGAAGAGGGAGAGGAACTAGAGATGAAATTGCCAACATACGCTGGATCTTGGAGAAAGCTAGGGAGTTCCAGAAAAACATCTACTTTGGCTTCATTGACTACGCTAAAGCCTTTGATTGTGTGGATCACAAAAAACTGTGGCAAGTTCTTAAAGAGATGAGAGTACCAGACCATCTTATTTGTCTCTTGAGAAACCTATATGCAGATCAAGAAGCTACAGTGAGAACTGGACACGGAACCACTGATTGGTTCAAAATTGAGAAAGGAGTTCAGCAAGGCTGTATACTGTCGCCCTGCCTATTTAACTTATATGCAGAGCACATCATGAGAAAGGTGGGGCTAGATGAATCACCAGTTGGAATTAAGATTGCTGGGAGAAATATCAACAACCACAGATATGCAGATGATACCACTCTCATGGCAGAAAATGAAGAGGAACTAAAGAGCCTCTTGATGCAGGTGAAGGAAGAGAGCGCAAAAGTTGGCTTGAAACTCAACATCAAGAAAACTAAGATCATGGCATCCGATCCTATCACTTCCTGGCAAATAGATGGGAAGAAATGGAGGTAGTGACAGTTTTTATTTTCCTGGGCTCCAAGATCTCCGCAGATGGGGACTGCAGCCAAGAAATTAAAAGACGCTTGCTCCTGGGGAGGAAAGCTATGGCAAATCTAGACAGCATACTAAAAAGCAGAGACATCACCCTGCCAACAAAAGTGCATATAGTCAAGGCTATGGTCTTCCCAGTTGCAATGTATGGCTGTGAAAGCTGGACCATAAGGAAGACTGAGCACCAAAGATTTGAGGCCTTAGAATTGTGGTGCTGGAGAAGACTCCTGTGAGTCCCTTGGACTGCAAGGCGATCAAACCGGTCAGTCCTAGAGGACATCAACCCAGACTGCTCTTCAGAAGGCCAGATAATGAAGATGAAACTCAAATATTTTGGTTATCTAATGGGAAGGAAGGGCTCACTGGAGTAGAGCCTAATGCTGGAAACAATAGATGGCAAAAGAAGAAGGGGATGGCAGAGGATGAGGTGACTAGATGGAGTGAAGCAGTAGGCGTGAGATTGAGTGGACTCCGGGGGATGATGGCGGACAGGAAGGCCTGGAGGAATGTTTTCCATGGGGTCACGATGGGTCGGACACAACTTTGCAACTAACAGCAACATGGAATGGTGATTATGCAAAATGTTTGGTTAGCTACCATATCCAGCCTCAGGTAAAACCAGCATGAATGACAGAAGTTCACGTTCTTTCTAGCACAGGACTTATTTCAAACAAAGCAACACACACACATTTCTGACCATCATAACACACCTGGCAAATCAAATCTACCATTATATCCTTTCTGTGTATGTGTGGAAAGAAGCAGCCCTGTGGCTATGAGTTATGTCAGCACTACAAAGTAATCCATGTTCATTATACTAATATATATATGGAAAAAGGAGTAGATATCAAGTCTTCTGTTGCATTTTAATGCTTTTATGCATGAAACGCTTTAATTAAGATGGCCAGCGGGTTGCCGTGGTTAGAGTGCTGGAGTGAAACTGGGTGACCCAGTTTCAAATCTCCTCCCAGCCATGAAGTTCACTGGGTTAAACTGGTCAGATATGGGCTCATAAACAAACCTACTCACAGGGCAGCTGTGAGGGCAAAATGAAGGGAAGGAGGGGAGGATTAGATATCCTGCCTTGGCTTCCTTGGAGGAAAAAAGTTGAACAGTAAATATAATTATAAATGAAATATTTAGTGTATTTAATTCCCTTCTGTTTACAGTCTTTGCCTTCCACTGCACCATAGTATATTTAAATCTGAAAATCCCCATAATATTTCATGCATCTGAGTAAGTGAGTTATAGTCTGTAAATGCTTGTGCCAGAATAAATGTGTTAGTTTGCAAGTGCCACAGGGGTCTTCCTTGGTTGAGCTGTTAACAATTTCTTCAAGTTGATGTTCATGCTGATGGAAAGATATGGGGTGGGGCATATGAGAAGCAAGGTGATGCTTTTCAGATTTCTAATGTTTCATATGTTCTATGAAGTGGTATCTGCCTTTCAGTTCCTAGGATCTCTATGCAATATACTTCCAAGTGAGAAACTAGATGCATCTTGTCTCTAGTGCAAATACATGTTAATTAGTGCTTATAGTAAAATAATGCACAGAAGACATTTTAAAGCTCTGGATGCTTGTTATTACAGTATAGTATAAGGTAAACATGCTTTTCTAGTATGGAATCATTTACTTTATTTTTATATTCATGTTTTAACCTTCCTCCGGGAACTAAAGATTCCCTATTTTTACCCTCATGAGAATCCTGCATGTGAGAAATAGGAAGCATTGCTGGTCCTCATTAGGTAACCAATGTGAAATTGGAGAGTCGCGGTATTGTTTAAAGAACTTGTAAAATAAGAATGGGGAAGAACAAGTTCATGATAAATGCCTCATGTAAAAAAGTCCTTTGGCAACTTCACTCTCCCGTATGCAGATTATTCCATCTCAGGTGAAACTGGAGTTGGGGAAAAGCCTGCATGAGGCAAAAGATGGAGCCCTGTGGCCAGGACTTTCAGAAGTGTCACTGTGTCTGTCATGGCCAAAATAGCAAACAGACTTGAGTTATAACACCTTAAAGCCTAATGGATTAATGGAAACATAAGCATTTGTGGATTGCAACAGTTTATTCTATAATAAGCAGGTTATTATTTAAACTACCACAATTCTTTTTGCAATATAGTTTGTGGTTGATATGGTATTGTAATAGCCTTCACTTTAATGTTACGATTATCTATTACTATTAACATACTAATATTTCAATGTGATTAATTATTTAACAAGCCCTCTTTGCATCCACGTGATATTGTTCTACTCTGAAATACATATAATAAAACTTGTGTAGGAGTTTCAGCCATATAATATTCTAAGCAACAAAGGAATATTCTTACTACTGGCTCCAGCACAGGCACTAGCACTAGAGTGCTGGCAGCCTGAGCAACAGAAAAGTGCTACCGCATTCATAGTTAGGGTTTTCATAATGAACCTGTCATTGCTTGAACAGATACCAGCCACTAAAACACCGAAGAGAAGAAAATCTGCGATTGACTGTTTTCTCTAAGGACGTGGCAATGCAAGGCAGAGGGATGTGGAAGTCACTTGGGTTAGAGCGCAAAGTGTAAGGCATGCCGTTTTCTATCATGAATTACTCCGCTAACACAAATGTTCCATGCAGAACTGTTCCTTTCTGAAGCGTCATTTTAACACCCTGAAAAGGAAGGAAAAGGACATTGAGAACCAGAACTTCTCTTTTTCACTTCCACCCAGAAGCCAATAGTGTGACTAACAGTAGTTCCCCAGAAGCATAACTGTAAGTTTGTAGCTTTGCATTCATTCACACAGCAGTCCCCATCTTTGCACCCTCACACTACTGCATAACTGAGTTTAGGAGTGTCACGTCAATCAGTTAATGACCCATTTCTAACGTTCGCATTGGTGAGCTAAAAACTCTAAAGGACTACAAGACTTTGGAACATGAAACCAAAGCTCAAATGAGTGTGGTGTAGCAGTTACACTGTTGAACTGCAAGTCAGGAGATCTGGTTTCACTTGGCCATGAAACTCACCGGGCAGCTTTAGGCCAGTCTAATGTGCCTTAGGTTCTTTGCATGAGAAAAACAGGCAGGATATAAATGTAATAATAAAGAAATAAAATGGACAGTTATGCAACTTAAAGTGCTGTTAGTCTTTATGTAACAGCAAAACACTCAGATGTCGGGTTTACTTTCTTGCCATAATGGCAGCATACATAGTAGATTCATCTAGGGTTGTTCTAGGTTGGTTTGCATCAGATCCATTGTCTTGCGCAGCTGGCCAGTGTGGACCACATGGCTGCTTGTATGTTAGATGCTTATCGATGCTCAGCTAAGCTACTTGATCCTCATCACACAGTGGCGCAAATGGTGCCATGCCTCTCGTGATCAGCACAGGGTGAGAAGCCGCTGTTGGTGCAGAGTTGTCCCACTCCAGAGGCACAGTGTCTATCTGACTATCCCTCCCACTCTCTGAAACACTGAAGTTGTGCTGTGGGTCCCATGGTATACGGTGAAGAACTTGGGGAAATGCAACTGTGCTCAGAGTCACAATGTTGTTCTTTAATGGAAGCAACTGATGATTTATTGCAACTTTGGACTTTAAATTGACTTTCCATTTCTTTCCGCATATACAGACCAAAAGCTAGAGGAGAGGAGTGGAATGGATAGGAAATATCTGCCTAGAGAAATGGATACAGAACAGAGAAATGATAAAATGGGAATGTGACTGTTTTTACAGATGGACTGGGAAAAGGCTTATCACTAGGTAAGACAAAGCTATATAGCAGGAGCTGGGAATCTGTTAACCAAGATCATAGGTTAAACACCTGTTCCTTACTTGCATCCCAATACAAGTCAATAAAAATAGAAATGGTGCATATACCAATAGGCATGTGGTATCAACAGCATGTGCCATATGTAAACTATAATGGAGTCCAGAACATCATGTAGCCTATCGCCTGCTACAAAATATGGTTGCATTTAAGCAAAGGGAGAAGAACAAGTTTGTTTTTTACCTGCTTCAATCAGGATATGATAGAAACACCATGGAACACCTGGTGGTCTGGCCTCAAAGCAGCACCCTTTCGCGTTACATTCATGTGCAGGGATTCCTGGGTATCCACAGTTGACTCTCTGTTTCACTTCTGTGGGACACACCTCTTTTACTGTTTCAAGAAAAAGTTATTTGGTGATTGGTGGATGCTACCCATCCTGGTAGTTGTCATTAGAACTCTCAGAAAAATCTACCATAGATTGAAATGAATTTAGATTTCTGTGAATCCAATCTGTGGATCCTGACTTTCCCCGTATCTCAAGGGTTCCATGGACTTTAAAGAAAAAATCTTTACTTTTGTGAACATTTACTCATAGAAAAGTATGGAAAATGAAAAACACCAAAACTAGCAAAAATGCCCATTACACCCAAAAGCTAAAATGTGAAAGTGTGCTTTTGGGGGGATTTGGAAATGTTTAGTGGAGCAAATTTGCACAAGTTTGAGTTGGCACAAATGCATATCTCTGTGTGCAAAATACAGTTCTGCCAAAGAGCAGATGACAGAACAAAAGGCACTAGAAAAGCTGTCAAACACAGATAAAGCAGATTTTGCCAAGTCACTACATTCCTAGTTGTGGCTCAGTGGTAGACCACATGGTTTGCATTGGGAAGGTTGTAGGTTCAGTCTCTGGCATCAGCATCTCCAGACAGGGCTGAAAAACTCCTGCTGTTTTTCCCTGTCCCTGGAGAGGTGCTGCTAGTCTGTGTCAAAGATATTGAACTGGATGGACCAGCAGAAGGTAGCTTCCTATGTTGCTTTCACAACTCAAAATACATGGACCATTCCTTGATCCTGAAAAAGTCTTTATCATGCATAAATTTTCAGCCTGTCTGTCACAGCCACACTTAATGCATCTGGGCACTAGAATCAATAACTTACAACCAGCTCTGCACCAGTAAGTGATAAAATTATATCTATCTCAAATTACTGAGACATTCAAATCAACTCCCTAAATTCTGAAAAAATACCCTTCTTTTTTCTTTTTCTTTTAATGTAAGACCTGCTCATATGACCACTTTCAACACTAGTTCAATAAATTAACACTAGCAATTGAGGTTATGTTTCATGGATGTCCGAGTACCGTTACAGGAGCAATGCTCTATGGATCCAAACATGCCCTCTTTTTGTGCACGCCACTGATGTATAATCATGGAAGGGAAGAAGTTGGATTCTCTTTCAGTTGCCGTCATTCAAGGATTTCCATGGGACACTGATGTAGCATGTCCAAAAAGACACTCAAGCCTATCATCTCCATATCTGTAGCTTGAAATTGTGTATTTCTGGTCTTGAAGACTTTGTATAACAAATGGATTCATGTCCACACTGGAAGGAAGTTAGTTCCTGTTCAAGCCACATTTCAGATAGAGTATAGCGCAGCCTCTCATTCTCTCCTCCCTCCCTATCTTCCTCCTTCTGTTCTTCATGGATTGCTCACACTAACATCTCTGTACATGCTACATCACTCTGCCCTTAAATGGCTGTGTGAGAAGGCCATCTGTTTTACATCACAGATATTCGGCACTTATTTATCATTTTTGTTTATGATTAATGCTTCTTGCTTAAGTGCTCGCTTTTAACCAAGAAAAACAATAATAATCATTCACATTTGTATCTAAAAGTGCCAAATACCGTTAGGGTGGTTTACTATCATAAAGCCAAACAATAACCACTCCACAAAATGCAACAATAAAAGTGTCAGAATAATACAACATGTAAAAGTTTAAAATATTAAAAAAATTAATATGTTAACATTAAGATCTGGCAGTAAAATGAATAATCAAGGCAATATTAAATGCCTACTTAAATAGGAAGGTCTTAAGTTGGGATCTAAGGATGCAATTCCATGGCTCCTGGATGTTGTCTAGATGGACATAGGACAATGTGGGGTCCCAACTGCAACCCTGAAGAAGCACTGCAAAGTTGGAGCTGAGGCTCTTGCAGAAAGCATGGTTCTTTCCATGCCAGCTGTGACTCCAAGGTGGCAAGATGACCTTAGAACCAGCAGCAGGGGAGAGGTGGGGAGAGGAGGAGCAAGGCACTGTTGTCCTACGAGCAAACCTAGAAGTACCTATGGTCTGTCTCCTCCTGAGCCAATACAACACAGTTAGATGGTTGAAATTAGAAGGTGTTTTGGAGAGTGAGAGGAGCACCAAGGCAATGCTTACCTCCATGCTACTTCTGCCTGCATTGGACGCCCATAATCCTCCAGGTCTGGAGGGTTGTAGGCAGACACATTGGATGACATCCTAAATGTATTTGATGAGGGTGCCAGGCAGACTTCCCTGAGACAGGGGTCACTATAGAGAAGGCCACTGTGGGTGGCTGCACCCAGACAATTGCCTCATGACAAACAAAAATGGCAAACTTATGCCAGTCAGTTTGCTGATCTTAGACACTGGTGCTGAAATATCCAAGTCTTTGATGATATTAGGCATGATGCATGTTTGGACAGCTACCATATCTGTCTGTCTGTCTGCCAAGCAGCTATTAACTCACTTCTGACAAACATAACTTGTTTTAAGATAATACATGAAAAAAATCACATGTACTTTATAGAGATAACTTACATGGTTTAAAGCACCAGGGCACTCCTGGGACTTTTGAATCAAAGCAGCATGCTGCATCCCTGCATTGCTGGGGAGTGATTCCTGGAGGTCCACAGTTAGTTCTTTTTTTGGGATCTATATCACAATGGCATCCCGCTGGTGGAGGGAAATGAAAATCTCAGGGTTAGGTAATGTTGGCTAAACCAATGTTTATTTAGTGTACACATCTTTTAACATAAAGTGTGAAGGGCAGATCACCAGAATCTAACTTCTTGCAAGAAAAGAAACTGGCCCACTGCCTTGATAGATAGAGCAAAGTGGAGGATGTCTTGTTTACACCCCAAAGCTATCTTGCTTAGGGGCAATGGAGCAAGACCGTCTTGTGATTCTGCCTGTTGGCCACAGCCTCATTTTTAAAGGTCGCTAGTGCTGCCAAACATTAAGTACATACAGCTGTGTCAATACTGTTAGCTACAAAATTCCCTTAAAATACTGTGTAAGTAACGGATTTTCAACTCTGCACATGCACTGCCCCTTCTCAGCATTCCTGTGCTAGATGGTACCTTTCCACAAGGAGTTCTGCTGCATCTGGTAATGGCTCTTGCCATTGTGGTAGCACCCTCGGACTGCACCGTTATGGTAGCCCTGTGTTCAGATGTTGCCATGTCCTGGGTTAGTCAAGACCATGGGTCTTCATGAAGAAATTTCTGCAGCAATTCTCTGTGTTTAATTAGTTTATCATATCCTAATTGAATGCTTCATAGTTAATACATGAATCGAAAGACATGGAGTCAATCTTAAGAGCCTGAATCACAGGCCTCATTGAACTCAATGGCCCATGGAGCCTTCTCAGAATTGAAGCATCATATAAGGCCATCACGTTTTAATGGGCTGATCTTATGGAGCTCCTCGACGCCTACCAATAGCACAAAAAAGGGGGAAGGAGTGGTTTATTCGTGGCCCTCAGAGTTCTGCTGATGGTCATAAGAACATAGAAAGAGCCATGCTGGCTCAGACTAAAGCTCTATCTAGTCCAGCCCTCCGTTTGCACAGTGGCTAACCAGGTGCCTCCATGGGAAGCCTACAACTGGACCTGAATGGAGTAGCCTTCTCTCCGTTCATTTTCTCTAGCAGCTGGAACATAGAGGCATACTTCCTCTGATACTGGGGGGAATATATAGCCATCATGCTGAGTAGCCTTTGAAAGCTTCTCCTCCATGAATCTGTCGATGCAAATCTAACCATCTGCCCCCTTGTGCTGTCACTTAATCCATCCTTCTGCAAAGCAAGCAGAACACCGCAAGAGCGCTGACGGAACCTGAATGAGGGAGTGAGTGTGAATTCCCTGTGTTGCATCCTGTGAGCTTCTGGGCCTTATTATGTATCTCCTGGGCTACAGAACATAAGCAATGCTCAGAGGAGGCTTTGACCCTTTACTTTTCTGAAAGCCCCCAAGTATCAATACCCAACTGTACTAAGCATCTCAGCAAATTTAGCAACAGGAAGAGGAGGTTCTTCCTTCACCTTCTTGGAGTAGCAATAAATAATTGTAGTTATAAATACATTTCCCAACTTCTCCTAGATAAGAACTTATCAAGAGAGAATGCCAGCAGGGACATGCGAACTATCCTGTGAACTGCATGGCACACTACTTGCATAACTATCTGTTGGCAGAAATCACAGGCGCATGCTCAGTGTAAAGAATTCCCATCTGACAGGGAACAAGTTTGTTCCCTTGAAGCCAAGGCTGCTGACTTGCAGAAGCTAAGTGAGGTGAGATGTTGGTGGACGAGACCTTTAGAACCCTAAAAGCAGTTTCCCAGCAGTGCTGCCAGGGGTCATGGGATGGAGGGTGTTGTTCTGAAGAGAAGGGAACAATCAAGAAAGTAAACATTCTCCCACAATGAGGATGTGCCTCTAGGGGTGGGAGACCAGTAGTAAAAGGGAGATTAAATCATTAATTAGCTGGATTTGTGATTGGCATGCTGTTGTGACATACTGAAAGCCACATTTAGGTTGCAAGAAAGAAGGAGGTTTTCTCTGAAATGCTATCTGTTCCATATGCAGGACCAGCTTACTCTTTTTTGCAGGGACATCATTTGCTTAAAATTGGGAGCAGCAGGTATCCATGGGAAGGTCTTGTGGATTTCATTAAAGGCTTCCTACATTTCCCCAGATCCCACAAAGCAAGTTCCACCTTACAAGCATCATGTTTTTTCTTTAGCTGTTCACTTATGTCTTCCATCCACTAATCTAGTACGTTCAGAAAGGGCCACAGAAATAACTGTAGAGGCAAGGTACTCACGTGGTATCTCTATCTTTTGAGCCAGTGTGCTGAGTCCTGAAAGTAAAATGAGTGAGAGAAGCCAGGTCCCCATCATCAGCATGGTAGCACACAGACCTTGGAGAGTCAAGCTGTAGCTCCAAAACGGTTCCCTCCAACCTCATTTTATACCATAAATGGTGTTTGTGGGCAGTTTTCAGATAACAAGTTTCCAGTTCAAATAACACTTGGCATTTGATTAGAAAACGTAACTACGCTTTTTTTGCGTATTTGGTAGTGATATTAACTAGGAGATAAATGTAACAATAAACACTGTAGGTCAGCTGTCATTCATTAGCTGCACCGGAACTTTATTCCATATTTTGAACAGCTTCATATAGTAAACAATTTGGACAGCAATTTAGACGTTCATTATTTTGATGTGCTGCTGCTGCTGCTTTCTGCATCAGGTTCCCACCTGTACCAATGCTAAGTTTCCTAAATCAAAATTAATGTTAAAACTCTGACCGCAAAGCCTTGCCTTAGGATGCCTATACCTATCAAACATCAGTGTGCAGGCTTTCAGAATTAACAGAACAATTCTGTACATGTTCCCTCAGAAATAAATCCTATTGTGTTCAACAGGACTTATTACCAGGTAAGTGTATAGGATTACAGCTTTTTATTGCTAAAATGAATATTTACACAAGCTAAACACTCTGAAACATATCAGATTATGATTTTCACTTCCAGAATATTTTACCTAATCAATCTTTATTTCACTTTCAGGCATGCTTAGATGCACGTTTCATCTACTTGTCATTTTTAAAGCAATGATGTCAACAGTTTTACCCACCAATTCTTTTTCATCAAGCTCTAAATCCAACAGAATCTTAACTTGGTCATACAGAGGACAGATGAGTGAGAATATAGTTTCCAAGGGAGAATTGTTCACATATACCATCTATAACTATAGCTGCCTTCAACCTCCCCACCATTTTGCACATTGTCCCTTTGTCTACCAGTGGCTGGAAAGCTCTCTATTCTGGATTCCTTTTGCTTTGAGTCTTTCCTCAACTTTGATTTTATAGTGGGTTTTCTTTCTGGAAAAATAGACTTATTTGGGCTTTGCTTCTGACTGCAGCTGGCTTTATTTCTGTTGAATCCTTCCCAATTTTCCCAGGTTCCCTTCCCGGCATTGTTGTTTTACTAGTGCTCTAATCAAGCATTCTAAGAAATGTCCAGCCATGATGGTTCCCACCAAGCTTTCCAACAAAAAGTATTAGAAAATGGAACAGTTAATGGGACCTGTAAGGTCTTCTCTGTTCTCTACAATCTCCTAGTACCCTATCACAGAAATCAGAAAGGTCAACTGAAAATGGGCTTCAAACCTCCTCTTTGTATCCCTCTTCCTTTGGAACAGGTAAATATCTGCCACACCTCTCTATTTTCCTGTTTTTCTCTATTTGTACTGGCTGGCATATTGAACAATCCCGTGTCATTTGCATCTGGGTTTCCCCCTTCAACACCACCTATGAAATTCCTAGCACCATCCCTGTTCCTGTGTTTGGTGACCACAACATCCTCATCTCCATCACTCACTCTGTCTACAGATGTGTTCTCAGTCTCCTACTCCTTCTTTCTCTGTTATTTGATAGCTGCTGGCCCAAGCTTAATTGGGATATTGTAATCCATTTCTTCATTCTATATCAACATCTTATATTTTGTAATGAAGCCACCATTCTTTGATTCAGGTTTTAGATTATGTTGAATAGTTATTAAAAGTAGGAGTAAGGACAGTGGAGCCTCATACTTTGAACTTAATTTGTTTCAGGAGGTCACTTGAACTCTGAATCATTTGAAGTCCAAATTCATTTTCCCCATTAGAAATATTGGGAAATGAATTAATCCATTCCCAGACCCTAAACAAGACCCATTTCAATAAACTTAAACAGCAAGTATGGCTTCCTGAAATAAATTAAGTTTGAAGAATGAGGAACCACTGTATTAGCATTTATGTTAGTAATGTTATGCTTTTACTGTACCTTAGTGAGGAGTGGTTATATATATCACCAAAAGATAAAGCAAAAAAAAAAAAGAAAAGAAGAAGAACTGATAATGCACAAGCGTTGAACAAGAGATGTTTCACAGCCAGAACCAACTTGGGCACAGAACAGATGATGTTTATGCTGCAAGCTCATTTTTTTCACTTCACATGCAGTTTGAACCTAGAAGCATCATTCGAACTTCGGAGCAATTTTATCAGTGCCTTTTTTGTAAAAAAAAAAAAAAAGGTGCCGGAACTCACGTCCCTGCTGGCAGTAAGCACACACACCAATCCCAAGCCAAGCAGCGTCCCAAGCAGCTATCTCTCACTATCAGATAGCAGATAGCAGACACAATAAAAGCCCGCAGGCACTACGTTAATGATGTTGCTGCTGATCTGCTACTCCATTCAAAATCACTTCATAAAATCCATTGAAAAAACGGTGCCGGAACACTGTTCTGGTGCGTTCTATGACCAAAAAAAAGCCCTGAATTGTATCTTAACTTTAACATTCGAACTCTGGATGGTTCAAAGTTAGAGTCATTTGAAGTTATGAGGCACCACTGTATAATGCACAACCTTTTCCATGGCCTACCAAGTTTCTGTTTTAAAGAGGCAACCCTTCCCCCTAGACAGAATAATCATTCGTCCAGCACAACAATCCCCCTGAAGCTACTGTTGTTGGTAAGTCCTTTGAAAGAACTGCCATTGATTGCGTTGGTACACCATGACTTGTGAACAGCTGATGGAGGACTGCTATGGCAGTGGCTGATGCTAAGCTTGCGATGATTTGAGAAAGAAGCTACAAAATCAGAAAGGTTTCGCTCTGAGAAGTCAGTGTGGATATGAGACTAAGGTTTCTGGTCACTATCCAGGGGAATACAGAGAACCTCTGAACACTGCTTTCATCTGCACAATGTCCATGTGTGCAGCTTGCAGAGTTCTCGGAATGGTCTGGTGTTCTGGTATGCAATAGCAACCTGATTTGGCCATGGCTGCACCCTTTGTGGACTGCCACAAAGAAAATGTCCTGAGTTCCTTACCAGTTACTCCATCAGCCAACCTCTGCATACCAACTTGAGAACACATTTATGTATTTATTGGATTTACAGTATATCTCACCTCTTTCCTTTTTTAAAGAACTAAAGGTAGCTGACATCATTCTCCTGCTGCTGCTCTCAATCTTATCCCTGCAACAGCCACCCTGTGAGGTAGGTTGTGACTGGCCCAAAGTCACCCAGTTACTGTGGCTGAGTGTGGACTGGAACCTGGATCCCATGTTCTTAACCACTGCACCACACTGGCTCTCTTGACACATGCTGAGTTGAGTTTTTGGGTTGTCAGCATGGCATTCTGTTCAGCCTGTTCAGCCAAGTGGAGGTTTAAGCACCAATTCCAGCATAAGGGCTACTCCTGGAGGGGGTGTGGCATATTCAGATCTCTGTAGTGGTGAGTGACTTTTGCAATTGCAATCAGGTTTCCTGGCTTGTATGCATTCAACATGACAATCCAGCAAAACAGGGGAGGTTGGCTTATAATTGGTAAAAATTCAAAGTGCATTATGGTCATTTTGGATTTCAAAGGTATGCCCATGTATGTAGCTATGAAATTTCTCTATTACAGCTGACACTCCCTTACTGATTTAGGCATAAAATCTTTCAGTAGGGGTAATTTCCTAGAAAGACAGTTGCAGCATCTGTACTATTCAACAGTGTGTGGGTAAGGACAGCCCTAAATCCAAAAAAGAGGCACCCCATGTAATGGAGAGAAATCTCTGTTCATCATAGTGAACAAGTGGGAAGTCTGAAGTTGGTATATTCTTGAGATTTCAAAATGCTGCTTCGTGTTGGCAAGTCTACTCCCAGCAAGTGATGTCCTTATCCAGCAAGTGCTGAAGGGGTCTTACTATGGCGGTTTTTCCCCCCAAAAAATGTAAGATAGGAATGCTTGGACTTCCTGTCTGCACATTGATTTAGGGACATTGTACCCTAGTCAGTCAATATGGAAGCAGGATAATTTCATAATGACAGTGAAAGTAGAGCAATGCCATCCAGTGTCTGAAGCACTTGAATTCAATGGGTATAAAAATGAAAATCTTTGTTTCTTGCATGGCAACAAAGGGTAGAAAAGATTTAGTGTTTGTGTTGCAGCTCATGCATTATGTGTAGAGACTATTATTCCTCTAGGCAATGATTAAATACTTTATTATCCCTCTAATCCACGAGTTAACTTTTTAAGTGTTACTACACAGATAATGCAATATAGACAGCTCTGCAAATGGAATCTTTAAATGCATGTGTAAATATAGGGCACATTCTACAAATCGTTAAACTAAAATAGGATTTCAATACCCCTTTTGTTTCAATGTAGAATAGCCAACGTCACATTATTGACTGAGATTTGTTATAACAGCTTTAGTAAATTCCTTTCTGTTTTTACACATTAGATCAGGTTCTGTTTCTAGATTAGCAAACTGTTGTTAGAGAAAGTGTTATCTGTCATCCCATTCAAGAAAAATGACAAAACTCAATTTATCACTTTTCCTTGGCCTCCTTTCATGGTACCAGCATGCTCATTATGCTATCTGAGCAGCTTTTGAAGTGCCGTCCACCATGCCTACAGTCACACCAGCCTTCAGCTCATGGCAGTTGCAACAACTGAAAGGCAACTTACACTGGGGACATTGTGCATGTTGGAACTGCATCTGAAGCCTACAGATTTTTACGGGATCGATTCTTCAGATATTATCAAGAAGACTCACTGGCCACCAAGTGTAGATGTGACTTGAGCATTTGGCTGGTGGATTTCAGTTATGTTCAGAAGGAAAAGACAAAGACATGGCTGGGATGCCATTTGGTGCGTTATGGAGAATATGGCTGGGAAGCTTTGCATTACTGGCGGTCAACTGGTTTGAATTACAGAGTGTGAAACAATATGAAAGAATTGCTGGATTCAGCCTGTGCTTCGTTGGAGGGAACCCAAAAGTTCTTAAGGGCAGCACCCACTGCTTCTGGCTTGAGGAGAGAGATGCCACAGACTGGGGAGTGCTGGACAATAGACTTTGTTTAAACAGACTTGTTTGGAAGCAAAGTGTGTTTGAATCTGTGGGGTGCAGTCCACCAACTTTGGAACAGAGGGAAGGCAGGGAGTCTTTGATCCTTGATCCTTCCTAATTTTAACCAAATCATTACCTCCTCCAGAAATGTGATGGGGGGAGCTGGAAATTTCTTCTCTTCTCTGCCTCTCTTGAGTCAGTTTGCAGGATTTGCATGCCCACTTGGATTCTGCAGTGGTGTCATTTTCAGTTGAGCTGGTCTCTCTTTTCTGGGATCAGTAAAGTTACCATAAAGGTGTATCAGCAATAGTCTCCGTAAGCTGAATTTCAGCTTATAGCAACTTGAGCAAAGTTTTGTGTGTGTTTGGGTTTAGCCAGAATTTCATACTGTCTACCTAGGATACCATTTGTTTTTATGGAATCATTCTTTTGGCAGAGGTATTTTCTTTGTATAAAATTCTCCCAGAAAGAAAGAAGCATTGAAAAGACAGCCAGTAGATGGAGGAAAGGGATTCAAATTCTTCAGGAGGGACATACTGCATGACAAGCACAGAGGTGCTGAGTGGTAGAATTTTTAGACATGGGACTATCTTAAGGGAGAAAGAGAGAAAGGGACATTGAAGAGTTCTGGGATCTTCATGAACTTCTTAGTGCAAGCATGGGGAACCTCAAGCCCTCCAGAATCCCCCAGATGTCCCCACCTTCCCCTTTCATAATCCTTTTGTGAGTTCCCAACTCCTCCCAATTTTAGAAGGATAAAATGCTTCATTTAAGGCTTAGTTACTGGTAGCGTAAGCTATAAGCTACAATTGGTTGCCTTTATTTTTTGTATCCTGGTTCCATCCCTTTTTCGTTTAGCTGTGCCCCAGTTGGTTGAATGCCATCCCTCACTGGATTGTGGCCCTTGGGGGCTTATCTGAAAATGGACCCAGCTGTTCAATTGAAAGAGGCTGTGCACTTCTTGCCTTAGGAAACTGCAGTGGTCTATCTAGCTCAGTATGCTCTACTAGCTGTATGCTGTATGCGACAGCTCCCCAAGGCTTTTGCTAGGAGAACTTCCCAGCCCTTCCTGGTTTGGAATGGAATCTGGGGTCTTCTGCATGAAAAGTATGTATTCTAGCCCCAGATTTGAGCTTTTCTGTGAATTGAAGGCATCCCTCCCCATTTGAAAGATAAGATGGGATGATCTAGGTACTGACCCTCTTTAATCATCACAGAGGCAGTGATGTTTTTCCAAATGAACTGTGGTACAATACAGGATATGTAAAACATTTAAGGTCACTGCTATCTGCATATCCACGAGGATTATGACGGAGATGTTATTTTCTTCATGATAAGCATCCTTATAGATTAGGTTTTAAAGGCAGAATCAGCGCACACTCTTCTATCTTAAATAAATGTGCCTGTGCAAAAAGGACATGGTTATGCATGCCAAAATTAAATGTAACTATCAGGGCTAGAGTAGATGGAGTGTTTGTCATGTAGTTTACCTTTGCATTTTTTATTTAAAAGTCAATCGACTGGGCAATAAAGGAGCGGGATCAGAGGTGAGGTGTGGCAGGAGGTGTGTGTGTGTGTGATGGAGGATTATTCTGATAAGGCCCACAGGGCAACAAGCTTCCTGGATCACCCATGGGTTATTCTACAGCTTGTACTCACGATGGGTTTGCCACAACATTTGAACCCAGGCAACCAATCCTATTGTGGGTTCATGCCACTTGACAGGAAGGGCAACAACCTCTAATCAAGCTTGCCTGGACACACAGCAGTGCCAGCCACCTTTCAAATGCCCAAGCAGCACCAGCCGGGTGCCCTCCATGACTGCAGGCTGTTTTGGGCTCACCAAAGCTTTGTTGTCCTTTATCCCCTTTTTCCCCAGAGACAGAAAGCCAGCATAGCAGCCTCCATCAACTCAAAATGCCCAAATGGCACCTTCCAAAACGTACCAAATGTGCCTCACCCTGATAAACAAGGGCAAGGCAACAGCAACAACAGAAGACCTTGCCACAAAGGGATTTTAGTCTCAGCATGCCCTTTTCACAAGCAAAAACCCCCCATGTCTTTGCTTTTCTTTGACAGCTCACCCTTTGACAACTGCCAAGAGAAATCAAAGGAAATTGAAACCCTGCTTGGAGCCTCTTTAGATCAAGGATCAGGGTTGGTGTCCTGCCCCAGCATTTGTCTAGGTCAGATGAGATGGATAACTTGAAAACACTTGTAAGATGTTTGAGACATGGAGGAGTCTTTGAAGGCTTTACAGCTGACAGAGCAAGTTGAACAGGAACATTTTGGAATCCCCTTCTTACGACCAGCGAGGCTTGTAGACTGCGCAGGGACTGTAGGCTACCTTGGCCTAATTTTAGGTGGACCTCAACTTAACTTCTAAAGCCCTATGCATGCCGTCATTTCTGGATGCTAGCAAGAGCGATCTATCCCATCTCTGGCAGCCTTCTGGGTGGGGAAGAAGATTGGTGGTGGGGCAGGGAGAGACAGCAGAGAGAGAAAGGAGAGTGGTAGGAAGAGACATGGTGACTGTTGGCTCTTGTGGCTTTAGCCCTGCGTACTGTTGCCTTTGGCTGCAGGCATCATCAACACGCTCCCAAAAGATTTCCCATGGGGCGAGGTGACTCACAAGGTTGTCCACCTCTGGTGCAGTAAACCCTTCAGCACAGTAACAGAGGATCCAAAGTGGTAAATCTGATACCTTACTCTAAACATTCTTGAGGCAACTTACTCAAAACCTTCCCCCAAAAATCAAAGATAGTTCCTGCTTACTGTTAACTGTTGCATCAAAACGAATTACATTTTAGGTTTCCAAATATGAATTTCTAGCATGTTTGTGGTCATTTAGTCTCTAACCTCAGGACTTTGGACCTTGAACTGAACTGGAAGCAGAGTTGCCAAGAAAACTAACCTTGGGTTTAGCATTCTGATTCTGAGCTGATCTCAGTTCTGTAAAAGTACATTTTAAGTTTACCACTTATTTATGTTTTATTATTCAAGCTGATGTTGAGTTTCTTCCTGTTTTGAGAAATGAGAACTGGGGTCAGATGACCCCAAGAATCTTGTTGGATCATTTAATAACATATAGGCAATTCTTCATTCTCATTATACATACAAAATGGCAATACAAGGAGAAAAATGTATGGGAAGGAAATTCTGTTCCCTTCATTCCACAAAGCATCTTCCTCAACCATTCCAAATATCTTTTAATTTTTTTTCTTCATCCTGAAAAATTCCCTTGCTTTGCTGAAGGCTCAAAGCACCATGGGACATGTTTGGCATACTGGTGATGTTCATAGCAGCATCCTTTCCCCAAACATTCATCAGCAGAGATGCCGGGGTATCCACATTGCACTCTTTTCCTTGGTGCCATTCCACACATCTTGGGAGGTTCTAAAGCAAAGGCAAGTTACAAAGATGTTATGTCCCGATTCTTTTTGAAATGTGAACCAAACAGTAGGTATGTTATAGCAGAATGACAGTGTTCAGGGGATAAAGAGCTGTATTCATCTGACTTAGGACTCAAACACTTCAATGGGATCTCCTTAAGTAGAACAAACATTGAATAAGATCTGACATCACAAATTACTATCTAAGTCATAATGACTAAACAAAAGTAAGTTAGTGAGGTTGGCAACATTTATCAAATTAAGGCAAAAGAGTTTGAAAAGAAATGGTATATTTTTGGTTGGGAGCCCTTTTGTAATGTGTTTGGTGGTTTATCATATATTCACTAAGCCTGGGGTCCTGTGCTCTCTGGAAAAGCATCCCAGGAGTTATAAGATTTTTCAGTTCTCCAAGTCTAAGGCTGGATAGACTCAATTCCCATTTTATAAGCCTCCCTGTGAGGCTGCAGAAAGGACCACAACTGATTTCCGGTCCTGTGATGTTGTAAAGGGGAAAGGGGGGCATTACGGGGGCAAACTCTTCCAAGGGTGTTCCATGAGAGGCTGTGGGTCCACATGAAAATGTGATATCACATTATGCTGAAGTACAGTATTAGATCTCCTTCCAGCACCCTGCATTCTCATTCCTGGAAAACATTCCTTGTGGAAGTGGGGTATGGTGGCTTCATTGCCATCCATACGCTGCCCTCTCCTTATGCTTATGCTGTCCTTTTCTACGTCAAACAGACCCACTCACCTCAAAGAAAACATTGCATCATTACCTGCTTCAGACAGAGGGCGAAAGCACCATCGAGTGTTAACAACATAAGAATCGAAGCAGCATCCTTTTGCTTGACATTCCTCAGCAGTGATGGCTGGATATCCACACTCCTCTCTTGCGCTCCTGTCCATTACACAATGCTGGGAAACTGTTTAGAAGAGTGAGCTGCATTACTGCGATTTTTCTTCTCTCTCCATATATTCTCTTAACATTGGGTTGATTGTTTGTTTGTTCCTTTGTGTGGGTGTTTCCAGGAATATGTCCCAAGTGAACAAACCCTTTTAGAAGACATATTACAGGCTGTTGCACAGTCAGAAACACTTAGCCTTGGTCAAAGATTTGCACCCGCTTCCAGTTTTCTGAGCCCTAGTCATGCATTCTTTCCACCCTGCGGATAGACAGGAGTCCTTGAATGGACTGACTGAAATTCTGACCTCATTTTAATCTGTGTGTAGCAGCTATTTCTTATGGCTCCATGTTTGCTCTAGATCAGGCTTAGTAAGCCCAGTCCAGATCTTTAAAGCTGCTACCCTCACCCTACAGTCTTGATTATGGCAGTGCACCTATTCTAGAGTAAAACAGCCATAGCTGCTAGATACAGATTTAATGCAATGTCTGTTTTGGCCTGGAGGAGGCTGGAAAGGGTCCCACCGCTGGCCTTCTCAACAGTCATCAGGTGAACAATGGTTTCTGCTGCTTTTGCCTTTTGTTCTCTTGGGGAGGAAAAAGGAGGAGGGGCCGTCCCTCCCATCCACTTCTTCCTGGAAACCTTGGCTGTCTCTGTACAGTTGGTGGCTGTGTGCCCTGACAACAACTTCTTTTGTGACTTCAGCCTATTCTTACCAGGAACATGATTCTCTATTGGCCTATAATTTATGTATTTTTCTTGAGTCCTTGAGGAAAGAAATTAGAACTTAATGTTAAATAAAGATTAATGCAAAGCCTTTACCATTGTTTACTGGGGGATAGAAACACACTGGTGCACCAGAAGCCTGTGGATCAAAACAGCATCCAATCCGTTTGCACCTCTTGCGAGAGATCCCTGGATAGCCACAGTCAGTTCTTGCTTGAGGCACAATCATTTTCTTTGCATAGCAAAGTGAAACTGTTGGAAACAATGTCCAGGTCACCCTGCATCTCTCTTGAATAATCTTGGCTAAAATCTAAAAAATAATGTGTCGGATTCAAATGTAGTCATTACTTACTAATGAAATTGGTCAAGTTAGTCAAGGCCAGCATATGTAGATCTGGTTTCATTTGGTCTCCTCCAAGTATGACTAAGTCTGGATCCAACCATGTTGCTTTCTGCCTGGGTTAAGAACTAACCTGCTAGTCCCACCCATGGAAGCCAGATCTAAGCACCTGAGACTTAAACCTGAAGCACCTGAGGGATGCTTCAAGTGATACTGGTGCTGTGACTGTCACCTTGTCACTATCATACTTCTGCACTGCAGAGGATCTGTGCTGCTCTCATGGTGGATAGAGAAGTTCATCACATGGATCAGCCCTTTCAACTCAAAAGTCTCTTCATCTCTCACATGCTGAAAGGGAGATTTTCTACTCAGGAGGACTTGAGAATCTTTGTAGCTTCCAAGTATCTCTCAGGTCAAAACAGCCACCCCATTATAGCAAGGTCATCTTGCTCACAGCAAGGCTACCTTATGAATGACTTGCCTATAAGGTTTTATGCTACATAGTAAGAATGGGCAACTCGAAGCCTTTTGGTCAACCACTCCCATCCACCCTAGCCAGCATAGCCAGTGGGAATTGTGAGATGATGGGAGGGTCATGAATACCTACAGAACTGGCATGAGTGCAGAGGTACAAAAGCTCTTTCAGACCAAGAAGTAAATTTGGAGCAGCTCTTGAAGGCTCTATTCCAGTGGCAGGTGGGACAGAAGGCAAAAGGGACAGGGCAAACCATGTATAGTGTGCACATGCACACACACGTGTGCACATGCGCCTGCACACACACCAACATACTGTCACTTAAAGCTCTCACTACTAGTAATTAAAAGACACTTCAATACTTTAGAATAGAGAAAAACTGCATAAAGAAACTATCAAAAAATCAGTGGTTGTGTGAAGGAGGCATGGGACAGAATTAAAAGGACTTGTCAGATTTGCCTTCATTTCCAGGCCTAAGGTCTTGCACCCCAGGTATACTACTACAAATTAAATATTTTATATATTGCCAAAAAAAAGTTCTTTATACTCTGTTCTTCAGACCAGAAACTATGATGACTGCCTAGGGAAAAAGTTCTTTGCATTCCTAAAGTTGAGAATGTATGTTGGACTTGATTTCTACAGGGGAATTTTGTTCTCGTGATAGACATCGCAAACAGAAAGTACCTAGAAAGCATCATGTGTATCTAGCAGATTGAGCAATGCAATCCAAACAGGTTCCCATCCCTGCTCACCATCTATGAATCATCATTACCTCTTTCTCCAGAAGGTCTAAAGCACCAAGGGACATCAGGCACGGTTGCATCAAAGCAGCATCCATTTGCTGTGCATTTCTCTGCAGTGATGCCTTTGGAAGTGGAATTACATTCCTTTCTCTCGTTGGCATCCATTAAACATTGGCATGCATCTGTTTGGAAGAAATAACCTTGGGCTGCACACTGAATTTAATGGAGATTGCTTCAGAAGGGAAATGAACAGATCTGCACTTTCAAGTTCCTTTTTGTTCTCACTTGCTTTTCCATTTTTGAATGTGTAATGTAAGATTCACTGACACTGGAAATAACAATTGCAATAATTAAATTCAACTGTGTTAATGTTGAACTACTAGACCAATAAATCTGGAGTGTCCAGTTTTACCATCTTGGAGAAAAGCAGCTGGATGAGGGACAAGTGAAATGATAATTATGGGTGAAGGTGTGGGTCAGATATATGTAAAGTAGTCATATGTCCACTTCAGGCTGCCACGATGTTCTTTAAATGGGTTCAGAGTCTCTAAATATATTCACAAGGCCAAACAGTCCCCTTTTCACAACTAGTTGCTCTAACTAGTTATGCTCTACAGTGTAAATGGGAATAAATAGAAGCACAGAAACGCAGCAAGTCAGAGGAGGTCTCCTGGGACATCTAATCTGGCCCCTGGCACAAGCCAGCTCCACTCATATCATGTCCAACAGGTAGGTGTCCAATCTTTCCTTGAATGCACTCACTGATGAGGCCTCCACTACCTCCCGTGGAAGCCCATTCCATATCTCAGGGTTCCTAACCACAGGAAGTACTTCCTGACATCCAACTTGAAAGCCAGTTCCTGGACCTTTGCCCCATTGGATCCCATCCTTCCTTCCACCACAGGGAAGAACATGTCATGAACCTCCATTGTGTGACACTCCTTTGCATATACCCATTCTGTAAATAACTGAAACTTAATAGACCAGCCATCCAGTAAAAAAAAAATTCCTGGTTATCCATATAATTCATGCCTCACGTGGCCAGTACATTATCCTTCCTTTCCACTGTGAACACTGTTGCTTTCCAAGGAGCAAGGAATGGTCAGCCAGTAGGCATTCCCCTCATCTCTTTTTGTCAGCAGTTATCATGACAGCCTCTCTCTCTCTCTTTCTCTTATATTCACATGATTATAGAGAACAAATGCAGTTCCTGGGTGGCTGCCACTGTTATTATCGATTTGGCTCTGACCTCTAATATAATCGTAATTTAACATTTACTCAGCTTGTTTTTATTCATAAACAATGTATACTTACATGGTGGACGTCCTCCACTTTGTGAGCAGAAAAATCCTAAACAAAGGGCAACCGCTAATAACCAGTATGTCTTGAGTTCCATTGTTATATCCAGCTTGTCCACTTGAATTCCTCTAAAGAATACTGATCTAAAATTACATTTGCATCTAATTAAATACACACACAAGCATATATATTCAACCTCACACTTATGGCAAATGAATATTAAAAAGAAAAGTTGTTTCTTTTCAGCCCTTCTCAGAAAAAGTGTAATAGTACAGCGAGTAGTGCAGTTCCTCTACTCGTGCCTTGTTAGTGAGAAGGATGCCCCTACTGCTGGCAGTGCAGCTTTTTACGCTGTGGTGAAATAGCTACCCTGATGTAAACATAAAGATTGTAAAAACAACGGCAATAGGGTGTTGCACAAAAGACTAACAAATATTTTCTGGCCTAAATTTTATTGGCCATGGCCCACTTCAGATAGTATCTATGAAAGCTTATGCCAGAATAAACGTGCTAATTTCTGAGATTCCTCAAGACTCTGTTGTTGTGGTTGCTAGAAACAAATACTACATCTCTGAAGACTGCAAATGTGTCCAGTACATAAATCACATTCACCACATTGCAAAGGTTTCAGGTACTGGAACTGGGGCCAGAAACTAGAATTGTTTCATATAGCAAAACAGATCATATTTTGTTCTATCAGGCAGGACAACACATACCATCATAGTATCCTTACAGTCTGATGAATCACAAAAAAAAAGTTTCCATTTTAACACTAAAAGTGTATTTTCTAAGTTTCTGAAATTGCAGCATGGCCCACACTAGAACTTTTCTGCCATATACCCCAGCTACTTACCTCTCCAGCAGACAGTCTTTAAAAAACAAGCAAACCAACTATACCATCCAACCTGAAGTTGAGTTCCACAAAATTTTTCATAGGTAACCTACCACCAGCCTCAACCTGCATGGCTAATGGTCAAAGGTGAGGGGCACTGGAGGCCAATGACATCTGGAACAGAGGGGCTCTCTTTCCCCACTTCAAAATAACATATTGCAGTGAGAGCACTGCTGTTCAGGGTTCTCTTAATTTTTCCAACAGCTCCCATTTTCTATGCTTCTCCCCAGGAGACTCACAAGCTTCATTCCCATGTCATGATAAGCATCCCTGGGTAGTTACCATGGTTCATGGCAACCATGATAAGCATCCCTGTGCAGCTACCGAGGTTCCTGGTGGTTGCTCTCCTCCCTCCCATCATCTCCTTCCCTCTCAGTCCTCCAGACAATATCTCAGGAGATGGCACTGGGAGGAATGGGGCTCCTGTCTTTGGCAGCTGCAATCACAAGCCAAGTTTGGCTCCCTGTGGCTGTTGAGCAGCTTCTTTTGTGCAAACCGGGCTTCTGCTCGTGCCCTGGAGTGCAGAACTGCAGGGAGCTCCTGCTCTAAAGGGGACTGTGGGAGCAAGAGGGGGAGCACCTGAGGCACGCTCAGGAAAAAAGGGGGATCAGCTGGCACTGCTCAGGTGATTGCCCCTCCGCCCCACAAGCACATGCCTCAGGGAAGTCCTTCATGAGTGGAGGGGGAGAATCATCTGGGCAGCAGTGAAATCCCCCTTTTCAGTCCCATTTGTGAGAGAGGCATCACTGAGTGCCTTTCTTGCAAGCAGTAGCGACAAGGGGAAGGGGAGCTTGCCCCGTCTTGTTCCCACTTGCCAGAGAAAGCAAAGCCGGCACCAGGCTGGGGCCACCTCTCTGGCAAGCAGGAGTGGGAATGGGGGCAGCAGGGGAACCAGCAGAGAAGCCCAGCCGTGAGCTGGTGACCCTCACCCCTTCCCCTTGCCTGCACGAGGGGCTTCCTTCAGGCATGTCTGTGGGGAGCGCAGTGGGGAGATCGTTTGACTGGTGCGGTGCCTGTCCACAGCACCGCCCAGAGGATTGTCCATATCTGCCCCAAAGAAGATCTGTAGAGCAAGAGGTGGGCAGAGTGGGGGTGCCTCTGACAGCCACACAAGATGGCTGCTGCCAGTGGCACTTTCTAGCCAGCCACTCTGGCCGAGCAGCTCTCTCATTCTGGTCTTGGTACCACAATGAGTTGGGGGGTTTTGGATACAGGCAATGCAACAAGCATTTGTGGTACTGAGAAACCATAGAACAGACTGTGGATTTTGCTTGTGGTTTATGCAGACCAAACCTACCATGCTGAAATACCATGACGGAATTTGAGCAACAGCACAGACATGCCAGGGCTTGTCATGTCCTGTGAACCCCCTCCCCCCACACACAATGTTCTGCGCTTACCATACTTGCTCAGTTCTCATTAAGATGCCTTTTTTTTCCTGCCCCGCCTTCCTTGGAGGGTTTTCCCTGAAGGCTTTTTTTTCCAGGGGACTTGCTTGTTTTACTACTGCAGACCTTGACACTCCTGCAAGTATACCGGTCCTTGTATAGATCGTAGCATTTTGGCAGCACAAGGGTCAGCGCTCAGTGTCGTGTGCATGCTCCCGGATGAGATTCCCAGGAGCGCATGAGAGAAGGAGAGCTTTGGTGAGAATGCTGGCTCAGACTCGGAGTAGTGGGAGTGGAGAGCTGAACCAGCCGTGGCTCAGAGTTCTCCCTCTGATAGTGGAGTTGTTGAGACTAGTGAGACTCCGGTGGCCCAAACTCTCCTGGTGAGCCAGCCTGAACCAGCTCTGGATCAAAGCACTTCCAGGACAACCACTGACCCCCCCCCCCGCCCCCAACTGTGGGAAAGAAGCCGGCAGAGAACAGGCTGGGGAGGGGTTCTCGGGAGGAGAACTTGACACCTCCGGAGACTTAGACGCAAGGGCCTATCGACGCACTCGCCAGCTGGACCAATTAGGGGCTCAATGGGAACAGCGCCAGTGTGCCCACTTCCATAGCACCCCCGCTCCAGAGACCAGCCCCTAAGGTGTCGTATATGATGCTTTGGGTGATTAGGAGCAGAGAGAGGGGTCGACTTTCCACCTGGAGTGCATGTTTTGAGGCTTGGGAATACGCTGTTTCTGTATGGAACAAAGACTCTTTTAATGATTGCTGAAGTGCCTGTCTCGTTTGGGAGGGGGCGCCTCGCTCACGACACGGGTTATGAGACTGGGTCAGTCTGTAGGACAGAGCTGCAGGGTACCCAGTGGGCTGAGTGATGAAGCCACTGCTGGAGCATCCCCAGTTCTGCCTTAAGAGCTCTGGCAGCCCCACCACCAGCAAGGCCTAGTGATGGCTTCCACTGTAGAACTGCTCCCACCATGAAGACATTTCTCTTAATGTTCAGCTGAAATGTACCCAGCTGTCGCTTCAGCCCACTGGATCTAGCCCTGCCCTCAACATCAGCACAGAACAAGGCTTGGTCCTCTTCTATGAGTAGGGTGGCCATGCATACAGCTTCATAGCAGGTGGTCCCCTATTGGAAAGGCTGTCAGAGGACAGACCTCTATTGGAAGATGTTGCTTATTTGAAGGACCGTCCACTCCAGGTCTGGTTCCAAGTCAGAGAACCTTAAGCAGGAAGAGCAGCAGGGTCTTTGGGTTTGTCCGTCAGCGGTCAGCAACCAGTGAGCAGACAGAGCCGCCGCATGCCTCACCTGGCCACACCTTCCCCCCATAATGGTGAGATGCCTTGTAGTTCTATTTAAATAATGTTACTAGTTCTAACTGTTCGCCTCTACATTTGCATATGCAGATTTGGTCCAGTCAGCCTTAGCCAGGTGATCCACAATATGGGAAGTGGAACAGTTTGGGACAAAATCCACCCACCCTGTCTGAGGCCCTTAACCTCCTGAATGCATGCAGCTACATGCTTGCGCACAGAAGCATGCATGCCCCATGGTGGTTTGCAAGGATCTGTGCACTGGGTCATTAGAACATCACAGATTTTGATCTTGTGAGTCCTTGCCTGTAAAAGAAAAATATTAACATTTCCATATTCACTAATGAAACATCTCATAAAAATTTCAAGATAATGTAAACAGGCTTTAGGAGATGTAGATTTTAAATATTGCTTGAAGCTATATGGCACTCCTTGTCAAGGAACACAGAGAGTAAGTCAAAGAAACACGCAGAAGCTTTTGTCTTACTTGAATTGCTGAGACAACTGGCTTGATTCCGATGCCTGCAAACATGGATGCCAGATAACACAGCACTTCCTGTCCTCTTCTGTCCCAAAGAGTACGCTTTACATAATGGCTCCTAGTTTGCAGATGTGAATCTAATGGCTGTGGAGTTACATCATGCCCAAGCTGAGCGTGCAAGATTGATTTTTTAAAGGACAACGAACAAAGGGCTTGTTTATGCATGATAGCTCAGGGTACGGGCAGCAAGCCAAGCTTCCCAGATTCTTTATGCACTGCTCAGCTCATTCACTGCCCTAGAATCAGATCCTGTGAGCCACAGGAGCAACACAGAAGAAACGCTTAAGGTAGGTCATGACTGATCACATGACATATGTGGGCCTGCCATGGTGCTGCCATGTATCTTGCTGACATTGGGAGTCCGCCTTAGGGCATGGTTCTGACTCAGCTACAAAGACTGGCTCCGTTTGCCCGGCAACAGCTGCTACCTCAAGAGACGAAGCCAAAGTGAGACACCAATCCTTTGTGGGCTGAGAACATGACAGTGGCATGCTTCATTCCAAGCTGAGAGCAGCACCTCTGGAGTCTTTCATGGGAACCCTTTCAAATGGGATTGCTGCAAGAAGGTGCTATAGCAAAATAGTCTTGTCCTACTTGTTTTGCCCAAACTATGATGCTGTCATCTGGTCAGGCAAGCCTACCCAGTACTCCAGCCGTACAATTAGAACATATTTTTCACCAAGTGATGATTATGTGCAGAGACACCGCCATGCAATACTACAACAGAACATTTACCTTTAGGCTAAGGCTGTCATGGACTGACCCAGTCTATGAGTACTAATTTGCATTGGCAGAACTCAACAAACTGGATAACTAAAAATAAGGTTAGTTGCATATGAGGGAGGAGAAAGAAATTGTTTAGGAATTTATTAACTAATACTTGACATCAGTATGGTTGAACATGACTGTGAGAAACCCAGGTTCAGTTTCCACTGAATTATGAAACTCATCAGGGTTGCCTTGGGCAAATAATTGTTTTTGAGTACGATCAAGAGCAATGATTAAATAGCAGGGGCAGCTGTGAGTATTGAAAACTAGGGATGTAAAGGAAGTGCAGCTGAGTTTGAAAAACAGCCAGTCTTGCCCCATTCACAAATTCAAACATGAACTCAATCACATTTTTTAGGAAAAGATTGCATGCGCTTACATTTGCAGTTATGTCCTTCTGAAAATTGTATCTCTGCAGGGTGGAGATGGGAAAGTGCACTTTAAATTTTGGAGAAAATTGGAGAAACTAGATTTTTTTAAAAGCTGCATTCAAAGGTGAAACTAACAGAAAATCCATGTGGAAACCGTAGAACCTTGCAGAGCTTAATCATTGCTGATTCTCCCATCTCTATTCGAAACTAAGCTGGCAGACTAAGCTTATCAATTCCAGGCAGGGGCATAATATATGCACAGCCTCCCAGATTTCCCCAAATTCATGCCTCCAAATATTTTGGATTAGAACTCTTGGAATTCCTGATCACTTGCCTTGTCACCTGGGGATGATGTAAATTAAAGCCCAAAACAGCTGGGGGGAGGGCACAAGTTTAGGCAAGGCTAACATAAGAGCAAAGCTTAGTATCATCAGCACACTGATAGATGGATCACTGCAAAACCCAACATAGATAGAAAGTCATATACACTTATGAAAATGGGCTCTTAAAACATTCATGTAGCCCATTCATGCCGATCAAATGCATGCTTACACAATTTGGTGGATCTGAGTAAATAAGCCTAGGACAGCAGCCTCCATTCCTCAGACATACTTCCTGAGCATCATCCTGCTATGTGAGGGAGAGGTTTCTTTGTGTGATTCGCCTTCTCTCAGCACCATCAAGCTTCTTGGGAAAAGTAATGCACAAACCGATGTACAAGGGTAGCCAGAACCATTAGAAATGTGACATGGCAAGCTGTGATGAAATGCCATCAGTTCACATTTTATGCTGGAACCAGTGGTATAAATGCGACATCCTACTGGAGCACAGCCACAAGTTCCCTGCCTGTAATACATGGATCTTGAGGAGGGCTCTGATTGGGCAGCACCCTTCCTTGAGTGCTGGGGCCTACCATGCGTTCAGCTGGAGGACTCCCTCTCGGGAACATTCAATAGGCATTCGCATGAGGGGAGGCAGTGGCATTAGCTTGCCCTGCCCCAAGGACCCTGCGCTGCCTTCACTGAGCATGTGCAGCAGCTTGTGTGAAAGCCACTGCTGTTTGTCTCCTATGCGTGGGGAGGCCAAAGGACCAAAAGTGCTTTTAAGTATCCAAATGTTTGACAGTTCTGACTGACAATGGATTGAATTGCGCACCTATGAATCCCTGTGGGTGGGTAGGTGGGTGAGTGGCTTGGGACCTTTTGTACCACCAATCAGTTGGCCATGGTTAGCCCTGAGATTTTGGGTGTCCTTTGAAAGAATGACTGTAAAGTTAACCAAAAGCCTAAACCAGGATTAAGTAACCTTCCAGCACTTGTGGGCACACTGGAAGTTTGAGAAAGCATCCTGGAAAAGATCTACACTACCGCCCATTCCCTTTCCAAGACCCAGTGTGGTCTGGTGGTTAAGAGTGTGGAACTGGGACTCAGGCAATCTGGGTTCTAGTCCTCTCTTGGCCATGGAGCCAACTGGGTGACTTTGGCCAGTCCCAGGTTCTCAGCCCAACCTATTTCACAACCTATTTTTGTTAAGGGGATAAGATGGACAGCAGCAGGAGGCAAATGGTAAATTGCTGAGGAAAAACAGTCACATTATTCTTGTGAAATGCACTGATCACAGTTGCAGGGCACATATAATGAATTCGGCATAGTTGCCACTGTGTTTAAAATGTTATCTTACAACATAAACATGCAATTGCCACAGAAGTTGGAGCAGTTGTGAAGGTGGCGTGTGCAACAAAATGGTCCTTTGAAAAAGAGAGAAACAGAAAGTCAAATAAGTAGGTGCAGATGCTAATAAGTGAAAAAGCAGGGTTTAGTTTTAGTTTTAAGGGAAACAATGGCAGCTCCTTCTGCCCCTTCACAAAAAATCATGGTGAAGAAGAAAGGGAGAAAAGAGGGGTGTGCGCCGGGACTGCTGTCTGCCCCACTCCCATGGACTGAAGCCAGCAAGATGGGCACCTCCATTCCCTCCGCTCAAAAGAAGACAAGGGTGGTCCCTCTGCCATGTTGATTTTCCCAGAAGTACTCTGCATTAAAGTTCATGTGTTTTACTTCTGAGTAAACATGCATTTCTATTTCTTGAGGCAGGCATATAAAGGAGTCAATAGGGAAGGTTTGAGAAGGCACTGCAAACTTTATATTTTGCAAGGACAAGGTTGAGGAGAAGCGAGGCAGCACTGTGCTCACTCTCCAGATGACTGGGCAAGCAAACCAGGGAGAGATGAAGGTGAGGCGCATGGGGAAGCCACCCAGGGCTTGGTTTTTGAAGAAGCCAGCCAGCCAGCCACTTCCTCTTTCTCTTCGCTGGGGAAATGCAGCATGTAAAAATGTCTTGACATAAGGGGTCTGAAGAAATCCAGGGTATAACTAGAGAAATAGTGTGAGGAGGACAGTTTGAGGTGAGCATCCTGTGACATGCGAGTGAGTCAGACACGACGGCACTGGCAAAAATCCCTGCCCTGGGACCACCACAAAATGCCTTTCCTGGGAGAGCAGGCTGGTCACGAAGAACAAGTAGCCTTCTCAGAGGATTGAGCACAAGGTAGAAGGGGTGTGGTCTGAGCCCAGCACAGAAGGCAACTGTTTTAGGATGTGCCAACAGAAAGCTGTTTCACTGAGTGCAAGCTCTTTTCCTCTCCCAACCCCACTGCAAGCCTACAAACATTCCCCTCCCATCATTTTCTCTCTCTGAATCATCACCGAATGCACTCTCCCTCACCTGACACAACACCTGTAGATTCTCTCAGTCACTCCCTCACACACATCTTAGTGGGCACCTGGTGGGAGTGCTCTGGCACCACAGACACCACACTGCCTACTCTTGGCCACTGCTTCAGAAGTGGTCTTTATTCGGCACCCTCTGTTGAACTCAAGATCAAACAGCGAGGTATATTAGCGACAGCAGAAATCAGTCCGATTGCCACAGATTTTGCTTTGCTTTATTGTTCTGGGAAGGCACAGAGTGCTGAACAGTAAGGAAAAAACAAGGTTCAGAAGCAGTGATCAGCATCCAAAGTTTAGTTTAGGGTGTAATTCTAAGCATATTTAGCTAGAAAAATGGTCCACAGCTCCCAGGGCATTGTAGCCCATTTTTCTGGCTAAACATGCACAGGACCAAGGCTTTAATTAGCCTTAGCTTGGTGCAGGGTTTCAGCAGTCACACCATCATCAAGAAACAGGGGATCAGGAGGTGATGCCTTGCAGAGAGCGTCATCGTGTGAAGATGCAGTTCCATCAGCGACTGAATCGTTTCCTCTTTAGTGCTGGGCTCCTGGGAAATCTTCTATAACGTGCACTCTGGATGGGGAAAGCATAAAAAGAAGGCACATTAAGGCTGAAGGAAATTGAGTGCAACGTATTTCATCAAGCAACAGTTCTCCCCAGAAGATTACAAAATCCTGGTTTTAAGTAGTGTTTGCTCCTCCCAGCTGATACACCCCGATATCATTTGCAGTCACCAGAATGAAAAGTTAAGAAAATATTCAGCCATCCCCCAAGCTAACTGCCCAGAACAGTCCCTTCCTTGCCTTCTCTCCAGAACATCTGGATGTGCAAAAGCTGAAATAGCATGACAGTGTCCCCTGCTCTGTTAGCTGCTGCTTGCAGGTAGGTGAGGAGGCGACACCCCAGTATCCCTTTTCTTGTACTGGATGTTACTCTGATCCCTTTAGGTTTTTCTTCACAGTTCTAATGGCAGCTCTGGGGTGAAACCGACTGGGGACACCATGCAGAGAAGAAAGGCCAAGTTCACAATCCTAGTGCAAGTTTAGGCAGGAAAGAGACCTACAACTTGCAGTTTGCCCGAGTCACTGTGGGAGCCAAGCTGGCAGGCACCACATGGGAGTCCCCGGAGCCTTGTGCTGGAGCCGGGACCCATCCAC